CTTGTCGTGTCATTAATGAAAATGGTATATCTTCCGAAGGGGTCAGACGTTTTTTTTGGAGATAAATGCAATATATTTAACTCAAAACTTTCTGATTATGGTACCCTATGAATCTAGCTTTTACGCCTATATTATTCCAGATCCAACACCTTTAACAAGCTTGCTAAGCATCTTTTTTGCTCATTACGGCCTTATGTACTTTACGCTTATAAACTCATTAACGTTACATATCGTATATCACCATTAGCCTCATTAGATATTCTTCTTTATTAGCTCTTCGCATATATACTAGATACTTTACATCGTGCATACCTGTAACTTCCTACAAATCTGTCATTGGATTATCCGTTCCATATATTACTAATTTATCTCTAACATAAGTGCTTTCTTCTTAAAATGTACGTTAATACCCGTCAATTATTCACGGTACGCCCACGGAAGAGCACGCATTAATTTCCGCATCGTCCGTAGTACCCGTACTGGTCAGTGCTTCCATATTAACATATCTAATCGTATAGTCCTTGTATTCCGTAGCATCTTTGCAATTTTTGATCATGCCACAAAATTTGTCGGAAATTCAACCGTAGGTAATCCTACTAGTTCCGTATTAATCCTACTATACCTTGTCGTACGAAAACCCGTAAAATAGTCGTCTGATTCGTAGTCCACATTGTCAGATTTCCGCATTTGTATGGAACTAGTATTTGTACGTTTACCTAACGATACCACGGTTTTTAATGAGAATATACGGCATTGTACGAAAGCCACGATACGTAACGTTTATCGAGAGGCAAGAATTGCACAGGTCTTATACGTTTATTGAGTTGCAACACGAACGTTACGGATATCGCCCATCCACTGTTAGTAGGCAATTGAATTTATATTCATGTACTTTTCAAGGGTTATAAATATCCCTTCTTTAAAACAACATATATGTTGGAGACATTTAATAACAATTGATAATTGCATTTACTGGTGCACTTTATATTGAATGGCTCGAATGCGATGGCAGTGGTCGAGCTGCTGATGCATGAGTAATTTATATTAATATCGTTACTACATTCATAGAATAGAATACATTATTGTTAATATTTTACAAACATAGTCGTTTGAAATGGAGTAAATGTACATAACGAAGAGTGATCATAAAGCTCGGACTGGCCGATGATTATAAGATAATTACAGCATTTTTAATATTTCAGGTAATATACGTACTGATATTTTCTAAAATAACATCCAATAGATGAACAGCAGATCTTAATTTAAAGAGACAAGGCAGTATGATGCAACATTTATTAATGATACTAGTCCATATTATCAGAAGAGAACAGACTACTGTGGACTAAAGTGGCTTTTACTTAGACCGCTCATCGTTGGTATGATCTTCATGCCTAACTGTTGGATCAGTCATCAGCAAATTTACAACTTTAATTGATCTGATGACTGTCTCGGGGTCGACGCGTAGCTGAATCCTCTCGCCAAATATGAACGCTGTAATTCGTTTTTTTTTAGTGTTTTTTTCTTTGAGGATTTTGAAATGAGAAAGCAAAAAGGTTTTTTGGAAAGGAAATTTTATTAGGTCCGTATAGACCCGGGCAATTTTTTTTTCCCCGATAAATAGGGTTCTTTCCGAATAGTCGTTTATTGTAAAACCCCGTGTTTTTGGTACAAAAAGGGGGAGTGTACCGGGTATGGCCCGCCCTAAATTCGTGTCGCCCCGATAAACGTATGGCCGTAAAAACCGTGTTTCCGGGGTTTTTAAATGGTAAATCCGTGGGATCCCGTAAAACATACCGTTTTTAATTCCGAAACGGGAAACCGAAAGGGACTACGGTTTTCACTTTTCCCCGGTAGAAATTTCCGTGAAGATTAGCCCCGTAGCTTTTTCCGTGGTTTAAACCTTAAAATATGGACCGGGGCATACTTTAAACACAATTGAATGCTTCATTGTTTAAATATCTGGAAATGGTAAAACATAAAATTTTTTTGGGAAAACCCGAAATAGAAATTAAAAATTTATAAAGGGATTTTTGACATTGAAACATCTAAAAAGTTTGGGAAATAATTTCTTTTTTGAAATCATTTCAAAAAAAATTTTAAAAAATTGCAGGCGAAAAAAAAAAGGCCCAAAAATACAAATACTTGCCCCTCTTAAAATTTTTTATAGAAAAAGCAAAAAAATGTTTTTAAATTTTTAAATCATTGTTCTTTTCCCAAATCAGTCGAAATTTTTATGTTTTTATGAAATTCAAATATAATCTATCTATCTATGTACTATTTTAATGAGTTAAAAACCACAAAAAAAAAAGAAAATTTCTTTAAAGGGTAAAAAGATTTAAATAATTGCCCCAAAATTCCAAATTTTTTTTCCCAATTTTAAAAAAAAAAAAACAAGATTGTAAAATTATCATTCAAAATTAGGTTTAAAAGAAAATCAGAGGGTTTTTAATTTCAATTTAAAAAGATGCATATAGAGGGTGTATGACGAACCAACTTTAAGGGTTTGCGCCCAGCATGGAAGCGGGAAAAAGTTGGAAATCGGGCGCGTTTTGATTGGGACCCCAATGCTGTTCGCTATAAAGTTTCCCCACTTGTAATAGGGTTTGTAAAACGAACAGCATTTTATCCCGGGTAGACGGCGCGGGGGCGAAAGGTGGTCTGGATCCCTGGATCGCAAACTCATTTTGTTGGGTTTTTTCCCTGAAAGGGGGCTCATTAATTTTGTTAAAATTACACGATAATTTCAAATCGGGTTAAAACAGAAATAAAGCAAAAACCGTAATCAGTAAATTTACTAAATTTCTCCTATTAAAAAGGGAAAATTGAGGGTAAAGTAAAACACGGAAAGGAAGACAAAGAAATTTTTTTGAGTCAGTATAAGCAAAATATAGTAAAAATTTAAAAAATTTAAAATGGGAAGCAAATTCGGATAAGTCCCAAAAAAATGGGAAATTTAAAACAATTTACAAATTGTATAATTGAAAGGGAAACCCCCAAAATGTATAGAAATATTTAACTTTTGGAAATTTTTTTTTGACTGTGGAAGCCCTTGATCCCAAAAAGAAAAAAAACATAAAACAATGTAAAAAATATTGTTTTAGTGAATGAAGTTTAGATATGCCTAATTTTGCATTGCTGTATAAAATTTTAGTTTTTTGCGTTTTTCTGTTTTATTTTTAAAATTTTTTTTAAGTTTTTTGATAAGTACGAATCTTGTTTTTGAAAATAAGTTGTATAAACCCCGAAAAATTTAAAAAATTCTGGATGAAAAAAACGTATGAGTAAAATTTAATATAAAAAAATGCTTGCTTTTCCGTCGGTAGAATATTCATATTTAAAATTTCATTTAAAATAGGGCGCGGATTCCCTTTTTAAAATTAAAATGTTAACTATTTTATGAACAATTTAAAGGGGCAATTTTTTTAAAAAAACAAACTAGTTTAATTTAAAATAAAACCTTTTGAGAGTAAGAACAAAGTATTCATAGAAAAGGGCTTATGCTTTTGTTTCCCCCTTTTTTTTATAAATTTAGCCCCCGTCATGACAAAACCCAAGAAAGCGGTTTCGACGCAAAGGACCCGACCCCCTGGGGCTCCGTGCAGCTGGGCAGGGGTCCAGGGTGGGTTTGCAAACAGTTTCCTTTGTTGACTGTAAGGTTTTTAAACGAATGGATCCCAATCAGACTGGGTGGTGGCAGGGCTAGTCCCCGGATCCAGGGGGTGCAAACCCCCTATGTTTGTTTTTTCTGACGCGGGTCATGTTTCTTTTTTTTAAATTTTTAATTACAAAATGAAATATCTGAGTTTTTGTTTTAAAACAGGCGACAATGTGTTTTTGCGGTTAAATAAACCCGATGATGTTGGGATGGGGAAGTTTTCTTCAAAATGTTAAAAAAACCTGATTTGGGAAAGCAAGAGTAACAATTTTAAAAACAAAAAGGGGAAGAAAATTTAAAAATTCCCAACCAAAAATTTTTAATTTTAAAGATGGTATGGTTCCCTTTATAAAAAAAGGTTTTCTTTATTTTTTTTTGAAAATTAAATTTATGGGGAGGCCCCGCCCAAAAAAGCCCCCTTTTGGGGTAAACCCTATTCAGCTTTAAAAGACGTCAAAAAAGTCCTTTTTTCGGCGCATTTTTTTTTAATATTTTAATTTTTTGTGAAAAATAAACAGTTTTTATGAACAAAAACAATTTTTAAAAACTGCTTTTTTTTATTTTCTTTTTTTGTTGATATGATAAAAAATTCCCCCAAAAAGTTTTAAAAAACAACCCTTTTAAATAAGGGCCCCTCTTTTGATAAAGACCAACTCTTTGACAAACGTTCAAAGTGAAAAAGTGACATCCAAATAAAGACGACCCTGTAATAAAAGCCACCCTTCGCAAACCTTCATTGATTAAGATAGAACAAAAGTACCTCCAAATAAAGACAACCTGTTGTATAGTGGCCGTGTTTGGTTTTTCCTCTACAGTTCTTGTGTTCACAGGTTTAACTGCATTCTTTATGGACATTAACCGTTTCTTATTATATCTGTTTTTAAGAACATTTTCATTTTTTTTTTTCAGATGTGTGGTAGATATCCCGAAACTCATATTTTTTCACAAGGAACACACGAGACCCGTTTGTCTTCAGTGCATTTGAATTCCCCCAGACTCATAACAGCGTGTATATTTTTCTGTAACCTCCCACGTTCTGTAAGACTACGGACACTAGCGACATGTGCACGCAAATTTGTCACGGCTCACCGTCACTTATGGGACGCTCACTGTGGACATTGGAATCAGAGCGCGAGAAAATATCAAATTACCTTAATGTATTTCCCTGATACATGTATAAATAAAATGATTAATATAATTGACTTTGTTGAATATACTTTTGGTTAACCTGATTTTATTTTAAAGACCCTGTCGAAGTAGTGAATTCAGGTAAACAGCTATTATAACGCGCTTTTGCACGGGATATGGGGATCTGCAATCCAAATATAAAAATCCTAAATCCAAATAATTTTTAAATAACAACTTTATTACTTGTATAATAGTCTGATGGTGAATGTTTTATATGCAATATATTTTAAAACACAAGGAATTGTTATAGTTATAAAATAATTGCATGAAAGAAGGTCAATTGTTCAATTTTAAAATATCAAATAAAAACACAATTAAATACATGTAAAAGCTTAACACAAGCTTGCTACATAAAACATTGGGGAAAAGCAAAGTTGATTTAACAATTGATAGATTCACTTGCTTGGCAGTGAGAGAATTGTACCGAGATCTTGGTCGACATATAACCCTAGCTAACAGAATAACACAATTAAAAATGAAGCAATCTCAGTTAACATTCTATTCTTATAAACGTGCCATTATATACTTATTTAATACTTTAGCTTAATCTACAATAACGGTACAGAAATAAGTTTAAATGATGCTTTTCGTAAAAATAAAACAACGAAAAACATTATAAAAATAATTTAAAATGTTAAATTGATATATTACAACTGGTATGAATTATCTAAATTTATATGTTATGAACTTTTATTACTAACTTAAATTACTTAAAATTTTACTTAATTAATGCATAAATTAATTACTTTAAATCAAAGTGGAAAATGTACAAAAAAATCAATAAGCGCGATCCAAGATCTCAAAACATCATGCTTTACAAGTAATATATATGTATATTACAATATTCAGAATTAGATTTACTTAATAACATTATACAGTATGAAACCTAAAGATAAAATCTTACATGATATTATTTTATAGTATATTAAAGGCAAAAGAACATGTTTCTAGTATTAACAAAAACATAATAATAAATACATTTAACACACGAAAATGATAAGAAATAATTTACCTGCAATCCAAATATAAAAATCCTAAATCCAAATAATTTTTAAATAACAACTTTATTACTTGTATAATAGTCTGATGGTGAATGTTGACCATGAAAAGCTCTGGGTTACTTATATACAGAATCTGCGATTTAGTGCTCAAAAGCCGTGAAATACGAGCAGGATATCTTGTCACTCAAATTTGAAAGCATAAATTATCAGTTATCACCTTTGTATTTGATCTTTTCTGGCATGTCCGTCAACTTAACACCTCAGGCTTCCTGTACAGGATTTATTACTTATTAATTTTGGCCAAGAGCTTTTAAGATCAATTATCACCTATCAGTGTCACCTTAGAGTAACATTGACAAGTTGTAAGAAATCTTATCACTTATCTACCTTTTTAGATTCTAATCTTGTTTTTATAATTCTTAAAATAATAATTTGGAATTGCAGTTGAAAATCTAAAAATTGTATAGTGAAAAAAATATAATTATCTCTACTTTTAAGAAGTAATATTAATTAGACCAGTATAATATAATTATCTGTACTATAAAGCAGTTGAAATGATAAAAACACAAATACAATGTTTCATTTAAAAAAAACAATTACATAATATACATATTTTTATAAATTACATGATATACATGAGAAACGAATTGCATAATATTACATCCAGAAAAATAAACATTATAATAAATGCCCGGACCCCTTTAACTTTGGGCCCCAAAGTTGAAATGAATAGAAAAAAAAATACAATGTTTATTAAAACAGGTATATTTAAAAGTGAAAATAAATGTAATGGTACCAATACATAAAAAATACCTATATACATATACAAATGCAAAAGAAATAATATAATACAAGCATCCAGTATGTCATAAAGTTTATACTCAACTTTTATAGAGTTTTGAGGCCAGATGCAAAGGCATGTACTAGAAATTGTAGCTTACTAAATTTTTAGGGACTAAAGGTAAAGTTCGGACCGAACGTTTCACTTGTCACCGCTATGAGGTGGCCTTTATGTTGAATGTATACGTATACAAAGAATGATTTCTTAATCATTTTACGGACTTTGAGACTTTGCATGAAAGTTAAATTTACAGTATCAGGCATAGTTAAGGCTTTACTATTCCTGGAATCTTCAATATTAAAATCAGGCCATGAAAAATTTAGCTTTTTGTTATACCATGGACCACGTATTTTGAAGTGAGATATGTCAGATGGTGCCCTGATCTTACAGAAAGCTGGACAAAGAGGTAATGACAAAACAGGCAGAATGATACAAGAGTCGCCAGTTGTTAACTCTAGCATTAAAATAGTTTTTCGATTATAATAGTGCTTCTTTAAAACTGTAAAAAGGACAAATGCAAAATGCAGCAGACAAACAAATAAAATAGCATGTTCCCATGTCAAATCTATATAAATGGTTGGCAAGGAGCTATCATCGGTAGGCTTTGGATTAGTTTTGTAAATGAAAGAGGGAATAGGAGAGGTGGGTAGTGCACTTGCAGTTTGAACATTTTTGAGAATTGTCACTGTAACCAGAAGTTTCTTAATCTTAATACAAGACCAAACTGTTGACAGGAATAACCCTGCGGTAACTCCCATGGTTGAAAATATAAGGATAGAGTTAAGGTTTGGCCATTCAGATTGTATATCTATGAGTCCATCTAAGAGTGGTTCAGTTAACGATTGGAAAGCAGCAGTATCTTGTTTAGCTAAATCAACCATTCTAGATAAATTTAAATGTGCTTTAGCATCATTTGCTAAAACAGAGTGCATCTTATGTTCAAACAATTTGAATTTTGGCAGGGACACATTAACAGGTTTGCCAAATGAAGAGTCAGCAAATATTTCATCATGGAAAGTTTTGTCAAAGAATTTCTGTAATAGTATTAAATTAACATGATGTACAATAGAGATATCATTTGTTTCATTGTGGCACGCTATTAGCCTCTGTGGTAGGTAAATGTGTGACGTTATGACAGAGCATTGACAAGGTAACTTAATTATACAAAAGTCACAACCTTTTATCATTTTATGCTGATGCTTGCATTCTACAGACAAAAGAGGTGTCCTATATAATAAAATGGCATTAGAATCTAACTCAATTAAATTTGGTTTAATAACATTCTGAACAAATCTGAAGTTACAAGAAGAGTGTATGAGTTCTTTGTCATTGCTAAATAATGAAAGTGCACAACTTTGGGAAGTTACAGGTGTTAATGGTTTGTTTTCATAGCAGTGAATGTACTTGGTTCCATGACAATTTAGTAAAGCATTTTGATTCAGAGCCATATAATACTGTCTGTCTGATGTTATAGCAAAATAATAAGGGAGATCTAAAATCTGTGTTGCATGCGTGGAAGAAGAGTTAACAGGAACTGGCAAAGCTAATACTCGATATAATTTAATTGGTTGCTTCTGAACAGTAATTGGAAATTTAACAGAAATATAAATACTATTATTGAATCTTCCACATACAAATTTTGATTGAGAATAAACTTGATTGACATTTTTATAAGTTAAATGAAATCCAGAATATTTAGTAGACAACAAGTTTTGGATATCAGACATAGTTTGCTGCATTATATTAGATGGTATGATAATAGGGGATAACTCTCCTTCTGCTAAACTTACAATACCATTTTTGTATTCATCTAGAAGGTGATTTAAATGACTTGATTGATTAATTTGAGAAGCAAGGGTTTCCAACATTTTGCTAAAACTATATTGTAAATTTTTAGTAGATGTCATTAATAGGTTATGTATATAGTTAATTTCAATTTTGTTAGTTTTAATTCCATCAAGTAAATTGTCCATTCTTTTATTGGCTGTCTGCATAAAGGAGCTTAAATGATTTCCATGTTGTTCTAAAGAATTTAAAATTTTGTAAGTTTTACGTGTTAGAGCATTTACATGTCGAGCTAACATGTTTACGTCTTCAGATGTTGCTGTCCCAAAAATAGATTTTGATAGTTGGCCAATGAAGGGCAATAGACTTCTACGTCTACGTTCCATTCCTCTTCTTGTTTCCGGTATTAGCCTTTTTATTGCATCTATTGTATCGTCCATACGGACTGATGTTTCGGCCCTAATTGTATTTATTTGAGCAAGTACATGACTCACCATAATACATGTTTCGTTGTCTCTATGACAATGTCCTATTGTTGGAAGTACAATCTTATCTGGTATAGGCAATTCAAATGTATGTATCCAATGTTCATTTGCAAGATGCAGATCTGCTATTTCCTTAAATACAATGCCATAATTGAGTCGGGATAGTGACTGGTTACACGCTGCCGGCTGGGCGAAACAGAATAGAAGAGTTAAGATTCCAATGAGCATGCCCCAAACTTTTTGTTCTCTGAAGGGACCTACAAAAATAAGAAAAAAAATACATGTAGTTCAGCCGGTTTGGATGGTGATCAGCCGTCCTATAGCACTATTAGACAACAAATTTGAAAATTTGTTAAGGGTTGGCTTAGCTACATGAAAAAGAATTTTGAAAGGGAGGTTTATTCTAAAGTTAGGAATATTTTGACAAAGAACCAACGTTGGAATTTATTTTCAGAGAACTAAAGTCAGAGACACCCTCAGTCAAAACCTAATTATCAATTAATCAACCTTCTAATCCTGCTCCTCCTCACGTGTTCTGCTTCGAGTCACCATCTTATGTGATGAAGGTTTTCTTGCTGCCTTCTTAATGAGATACTCCTGTATATCTTTAATGGCACATTTATCTTTTTCAATCCATTCCTTAGATTTTTCGAACTGGTAATGTTTCCTTCCATTAATGTGACTGTCTCTAATGATTTTCCCAGTATGTAAAGACTTACCTCCATCAACAGATACATTAGTGTCTAAAGTTGTTGTGCTGGAAGGTGTGGTTTGCCCATCAGTAGAGTCCTTTTGGTCTCTAGCAATTTGAGCATTCTTTTTGGCCTTTACCTGTTTGGGTTTTCGTTTCACATAAAGTTTTAACCTTGCTGCATTTACTAATTCTTTCATAGGAAGTTGTGTACGTACATCTACCAGTCGATAAGTAAAATTTGGCCCAAGACCCTGAATAAAGTAGGGACCTATATGTTTAGGCATGAGTTTGGGAGAAACACCTTTCTGCGTCTTCATGTTCCTCAAAAGTACCCAATCTCCTTCCTTAAAATTTGGGTGTTTTGCCTTAGTATCATACCTTTTCTTGGATTTTTCTTGTGAAATCTTGATATTGTCTCCTGCAAGTTCTCTAGCCACTCCTAAGTTTTTGAACATTTGGTCGAAGAATATTACTCCGTCTAATCCCATCTCTGTTTTTGGAATAAGGGATGTATCTATTGGGAGGTTCATTTCCTTTCCAAACAATAAATAGAAGGGTGAGAACTGAGTAGATTGTGTTGATGGAGACATACGAATCGCCATCATTGCCGATGGAAGTACGGAAGGCCAATTGTCTTGTTCTTTATTTACATATGCTCTGAGAATTTGTTCCAGAGTTGAATTCAGTCTTTCGCAGGTGGAATTGGTCTGAGGGTGATATGCACTGGTGTAATGCCTTGTTATATCGAACATTTCACACAATGCCTTCACCAATCTTGACATAAAATTCCGACCTCTGTCTGAAACCAGAATTCTAGGTGCACCGTACCTGGAAATTACTTGGCTGAACAAGTGTTTGGCTACTGTACCTGCTTCCATGTTTTCCATTGGTATAGCTTCGCACCATTTGCTTAAACTTTCTACAACCAGAAGTATATATTGAAAACCCTCTTTTGATTTAGGCAGAGGTCCAATAATATCCATATGCCATCTATCAAATATCTTATTTACAGGCATGTTGGATAAGGGTGCCTGATGTGGACGTCTGTCTACTTTTATCCTCTGACAGACATCACATCCTCGCACATGATTTTCAATATCCTGGAAGCATTTTGGCCAAAAGTATTTGTACCTTATGGCAGCAAATGATCTTTGAATTCCAAGGTGGCATCCCCCTGCAGCACTATCATGGTAACTTACTAATAAATCCTGACGAAGTTCAGTTGGAACTGCTACCTGTATGATAATCCTATCTTCTAGTGGAAGTTTCTTACCTCTTGTTTCATAAACATGATATAATACGCCTCCCGAGAGTTGGTAATGGTCACTTTCAAACATAGTTTTTCGTGCTAATGTGTCATCCTGCGGAAGAATACCTTCGTCTAAATACTTATATATATGTTTAAAATCCTCACAATTCTTTTGGAACTTGCTAATTTCATGAGTTTCCCAGGGAGGTTGTATGCTTCTATTATCATCTGTGGGTTTGGAATCTTTCGCATTGTTGTCAGAGAGAGCTGCCTTAGTTATTTCAGTATCTATATCCTTGTTGTCTTTATTTTCATTTATTTCGCGTAGTTCTTTATTAAATACTTGTAACTTCATTACACACGGAGACGGGTCATAATCAAAGAATACTTCTACCCTTTCCAATTCATCGGGTTCTTCAAGAGTTGTTTCAGGATCCAGGGAAATGGTCTTTTCTGGTTCTGTATTTACAGAATTGACAATAGCGGACAAACCTGACACATTAATTGATTCAAAATGTGCCGAGGTAAGCTGGCTTTCGTCTATAGGTTCACGGTTGCTCTGTAACTGTGTCTTAACCTCAGAATCAGCTGCACTTGGTTCGACAGGATATTCACGTCGAGACAAGGCATCTGCATTCTGATTGGCCCTACCTTTCCTATGTATTACTTCATAATCATGTCCTTGTAATTCAACAGACCATCTACCAAGTCGGCTAGAAGTATCCTTTATCTTGTGTAGCCATGCCAAAGCTTTATTATCAGTGTATACAATAAACTTCCGATGAGACAGGTATTGTCCGTACGTTCTTATACCTTCCAGGACAGCTAAGCATTCTTTGTCAGACACGCCCCACTTCCTTTCATCCGAACGTAGAGCACGACCCCCGTAACTTATCACCCTCTCTTTGCCATCAGCTCCTTTTTGACCCAATATATAGGCAAGAGCAGTGTCTGAGGCATCAGTGGTAAGTATGAAGGTCCTGTTCATGTCAGGATAGTGGATCATTGGAGCTGTGACCAATTCATGCTTTAAGGTGTCGAAAGCTGTCTGGTGTTTGCTTTCCCATACAAATTTCCTATCCTTTTGTAACAATTCATTAAGTGGGACAGTTATTTGAGAATATCCTTGCACAAATTTCCTATAGTAGTTACAAAGGCCAAGAAATGAACGTAGAGAGCGTTGATTTTTCGGAACTGGAAATTCATCTACAGCTTTTGTTTTCTCCTTATCAACTTCGATTCCATTTTTAGAAAGAATATGACCTAGATATTTAACTTTTTCTAGAGCAAAGTGACACTTTTCTGGTTTGAGTGTGAGATTTGCCTCACGAAGTTTTTGAAAGAGTAAATCCAAATGTGCTAAATGTTGCTCAAATGTTTGACTAAATACTAATATATCATCTATAAAGCATAAAGCCTGTTTCCAATTCATAGACCCCAGAACTTTTGTCATCAGCATTTGGAAAGACATTGGCGCGTTCTTTAAACCAAATGGCATTCGGTTGAATTCATAAATACCGGAAGGTACGACAAAGGCTGCTTTGTGACGTGTTTCCGGGTCAAGTGGGACTTGCCAAAATCCTGATGCCATATCTAATGTGGAAAAGTACTGAGCTTTGGAATCTCCGATACAGTCAAACACGGATTCTATTGTTGGCAAAGGAAAAGCTATAGAACGTGTTTTACGATTTAAGGAACGATAGTCAATTGCAAATCTGAACGTATTGTCACGCTTCTTTACCAAAACAACCGGACTGTGCCAAATAGAATTTGATTCCCTAATTATTTTATTATCAAGCATTTTCTGAACTTCATCATCTATAGCTTTTCGCTGAATAGGATTTGCTCTATAATATGGCAGTCGGACGGGGCCTTCTCCAGGGTAAGTATCTATTGTATGGTGATATCCTTTTGCCTCACCTAAGTCTTTTAAGGATGTAGAAAATATATCTTTATTTTGATCTAGGAAACCTTTCATTCTCTTTTGTTGTTCTTGGGTCAAGTCAGACTTGGAAAGGTCAAAATTTACATCTTTGTCACTTTGCTCTTGAAGTTCAACATTTATGTTAGCACAACTAGTAATGTTAGCACCATTAGCACATGATTGATTGTTAGTATTACTATTATTAGTATCAGTATCTTCAATTTTAAGTACATTTTCTTTATCAACAGCCGTCAATATTCCGACAACAGTATTAACAGGAAGGAAAACAGAGTCATTTGATACATTCATTATACTAATAAAAGCTCTACGTTTCTTAATATTGACCAAACATTTAGCACCAGCCAGGTTCTTTTTGTAAAGGGAGTCTGTTGGTTCGATTAAAAAGGTGCCATTAGTTTTACTGCGAGAAACCTTAACTTTAACACATTTTCTAGAATTTGCAGGAATATTAGTACTTTGATTAATTCGGGCCAGGCCAGCATCAGATCTGGAAAGCTTTACACCTACTAAATTGTCATTTTTGTTTTTCAAGGAAACCAAATTTTCTGCAAAATTAACTGTTACACCATGTTGCTGCATAAAGTCACAGCCCAATATTACAGGGTACTGAATGCCAGGTACTACGTGAAATGTAACGATAAACTGTGTTTTTGCTATAGAAATATTTGTTTCAAATTTTCCCAAAATTCTATGTTTTGTACCACCCACACCTGAAACTTCCGGAAATTCAGAATTTTGCAACTGGACATTTTTCAAAGTGGATACATCTAAAAATGATTTAGAAATGCAACATATGTCTGCTCCCGTATCAAGTAAGCATTGAGTTTTCTTACCCCCAACCGTACTTATGACAGTATTTCTATTTAAACCGGACATGATTGCTATAAGAGGAGGCTTAGAACAAGAAGCACTATTATTTGTTTTAGACTGGGCAGCAGCTTTATTTCTATATACATACTGGCTTGTCTTAAAGTTTTTACCTCTATGCCTACCCACAGG